AATGCCGAGCCCGGACCTCTTCACATTTGAGGCATTATTCGTAAAGAGGGTCTATGCCCCGATGTTGTACCCAAGCTTAGCAGGAGTTCTTTCTCTACTTCGGGTACGAGGGTCGGTGTAAAATCGGCCAGGAAGTCAGCTAGGATTTGAGACTTGATGGTCGTTCGGGGTTGATATTTGATATCGTACCCGCTAAGTTCGACGACCCATTTGGCAAATCGGCCCGATAACTCGGGCTTATGCAAAACATTTTGAAGGGGGTAGGTGGTTAATACACATATAGGATGACATTGAAAATATGGTTTTAACTTTCTAGATGCGCTTATCAATGCAACTGCTAATTTTTTTAAGTGAGGGTACCTAGTTTTAGCATCTCTTAGAGTTCGACTTATGTAATAAACAGGAAATTGCATACCTTGCTCTTCTCGAACTAGTACCCCACTTACCGCTATCTTAGACACTGCCAAGTATAGATAAGTTTATTATCTACCTTCGGGGTGTGAATCAAAGGCAGGCTTGACAGATATCACTTTAATTCTTCTAAGGCCTGCTGACATTCAAGGGTCCATGCGAAGTCTTTTTTCTTTTTGAGCAAGGAAAAGAACCGGTGACTCCGATCTGATGACCTCGAAATGAATCGACCCAAAGCAGTTGTTCGACCTGTCAACCTTTGCACGACCTTCACACTGTCCACGATCGTGATGTCCTAGATGGCCTTAATCTTATTTAGGTTAATTTCAATGCCCCGATTCGACACCATAAAGCCGAGGAACTTACCCGAACCGACTCCGAAGGCACATTTCTTGGGGTTGAGCTTCATGTTGTATTTTCTCAAGATTTTGAATGTTTCCTGCAAATGAGTCAAATGGTCCTCTGCGCGCAGGGATTTAACCAACATATCATCAATGTAAACTTCAATTGTTTTACCTATTTGTTCTTCAAATATTTTGTTAACTAGGCGTTGGTATGTAGCTCCTGCATTTTTTAGCCCGAAGGGCATTACATTATAACAATAAGTCCCAAATTTAGTAATAAATGAAGTCTTTTCCTGGTCCTCCGGGCTCATCTGAATCTGACTATACCCGGAGTAAGTGTCGAGAAAAGTTAGGATCTCATGGCCGGCCTTGTCATCGATCAAACGATCGATGTTGGACAGTGGAAAAGAATCTTTTGGACATGCTTTGTTCAAGTCTTTATAGTCTACACACATTCTAAGTTTGTTTCCTTTTTTAGGAACTACAACTACATTGGCTAACCACTCGGGGTACTTTACCTCTCATATAGATCCTATTTTAAGAAGATTGGTTACCTCGTACTTTATGAAAGCATGCTTTACCTCAGACTGAGGCCTCCTTTTTTGTTTTACTGCTTTGAACCCGAGATAAGTGCTTAGCCAATGCATGGTGATTTCCGTTGGAATCCTTGTCATATCTTTTTCTTGGGCATGTATTCGATCAAGATGACCTGCTCCAGCTCCTCGATAGTTGATTTGGTTGCATTAGATTTTTTGGGAACTACGAAGGTTCGAGGAGTAAGAAAATCCTCTTCTTCGTCTTCGATTACCTGTTGCTCCGACTCCATCGAGGCTGAGGGTTGTGATTGCTATTTGGCCGCCTGCTTATCTTTGGTGCTCGATTTCTCTGAGGTTGGAGGCTCTGGTATCGGCACCGCTTCCTCGATTGCAAACATCCATTTGGCAGCATGTTGCTCTCCATATGCTATTTTCACTCTTTCCTCTGTTGGAAACTTCATTATCTGGTGAAGAGTTGAAGGCACTGCCCTCATGTTGTGTATCCATGGTCTTCCAAGGAGTGCGTTATACCTCATGTCACCTTCGATGACATGGAATCTAGTGTCTTGCATGGTGCTGGCTAAGTTTACTAGTAAGATAATCTCTCCCTTTGTTGTTTCACTTGCCATGTTGAAGCCATTGAGGACCCGGGACGCAGGTACAATCCGATTTTGTAGGCCGAGTTGTTCCACGACCCTCGATCTAATTATGTTTGTTGAGCTGCCTGGATACACTAAAATACATTTAACTTGAATTTTATTTAAAATGATAGAGATTACCAGGGCTTCATTGTGAGGCTGAGATATGCCTTCTGCTTTCTCGTCACAGAATGATAGGACGTCCTTGGGCACATAGCTCTGAGTCCATTTTTCTCTAGTGATTGATACTTTAGTGCGCTTGAACATAGGTCATTGAGGGACATCGACTCTGCCAATGATTATATGGATTACGTGTTGTGATTCTTCTTGCTCAGTTTCCCTTGCATCCCTTTCCCTGAAGTGATTCTTAGCTTGACCACTTAGAAATATCGAAGGTGGCCCTCGTTTAACAACCGAGCCACTTATTCCTTTAGTTGTATGTAATCTTTTGTTCTATGACCATGTGTGCCATGATACTTGCACATCAAGTTTGGGTTCCTTTGAGAAGGATCGGTCTGTATTGGCCTGGGCCACTTAGTGTCTTTGATTCTCCCAATAGCTGAGACAATCCCTGATGCATCTATGCTGAAGTTGTACTCTGATAATCGAGGGGCCTCGGCTGGGTCGGTGCGCTTATCGAACCCGCTTTTACACATGAGTTCGCGAGAACTTTGACCTCGATCATTTCTCCGATCGCTCCGAGGAGAGTTGCAGTTGGGGCCGTTGTTCCTTCGATTGGCATATGGCTGATACCGTTCTTTGTTGAATCTCGATTCCTAGTTTGTGTCCCTCGGAGGCTTGGTTGCGAATCTGTTAGGATGAATTGAACCTAAGAGGGCTCCCAACTGCTCGTCCTTGACCCTGATTTTTGACTGGTAACGATTGTGCACATCCGACCATGTCACGACTGGATATTCGATCAAGTTCTGTTTCAATTGTTGAGACGCGATCGAGTTCCTTTCATTCAGAACCTGCATAAAGGCTTGTACTGCCCAGCTATCGAAGACCGGTGGTAATTCCATTCTTTCCATTTGAAATCGGGACACGAACTCCCTTAGCATCTCGTCGTTCTTTTGTTTTATCTTGAAGACATCTGATTTTCTCGTGGACACTTTTATGGCCCCGATGTGGGCTTTCACGAAGGAATCTGCTAACATAGCAAATGAATCAATGGAGTTAGGAGCTAAGTTGTGATACCAGATCATAACTTCTTTAGATAGTGTTTCTCCAAACTTTTTCAATAACACTAACTCGATTTCATCGTCATTCAAGTCATTTCCTTTGATCCCACAAGTGTATAAAGTAATATGTTCGTTAGGGTCGGTTCCTGTTATATTTTTGTATATCGGGCATGCAAAACTTCTTGGGAATGTGCATTAGAACCACACTCGGGGGGGGGGGGGAATGATTTTTGTATGAACTTCTTGGCGTTTAAGCCTTTCAAGACCGGAGGTTCCCCTGGTATTTGATGAACACGGGAGTTGTAAGTCTCCACCTTTTTGTCATTTTTCTCAATCTTCTTTTCTCTGAACTCGATCCTCTTGGCGATCTCTTCGAGCATCCTCATAATGGTGGGGTCAGTCCCCGAGTTATTTCCGTTCGATCTCTCCGATTCTGGTTTAGCATGTCGAGTATTTTCATGTTCAGCTACGCGCGGAGTCTTATTCTGACTTTGAAGTTGAGCGATGGTGATTTGCTGAGCTTGCAGCATCTCGAATATTACTTGGAGGCTAATTCCCCCATCTCCCACTTCTCGTTCTCCTTGGCCACCATATCGGGCTTCCCTACGTTTATTCCCTACGGGGTCTGTGCCTGAATGCGCGCTTAGAGCATTATGTAAATTGATATCAACTAGCTCCATATTTGTCACTTCCTCAGGATTTATTGGTGGTGCACCGACCCCTATACTGTTGTTTTCTCCAAGATCTTTATTGTCATGAACATGTGCGTTTTGTATTCTAGACATGTTTCAGCCTAAGAATCAAAAAATCTTGACAAGAAAAGGTGTAAAAACAACGTGTGTAATGAGAATTAGTAGAGAAATAATCCCTATTATCTTTAGCCCCACGGTGAGCGTCAAACTGTTTACCTCAAAAATACGAGTAACAATTAAACTTGATTTGTGGTTTTAAAGATATGTGATTTAATTCAATATCAATTAATAATCAAGAAATATGAAGTAAAAATGAATGAGACAAGTGAATTAGACCAGTGTTACTCTACAGTAGCGACCTCGAGGTGGGCTTAGAACAGTAAGAACAATGAAGTAAGAAAATTGAAGTAAGAACGGTAGAGCTAAAGACAAATAGTAGGCCAAAAAGTAGAGAGTATGTTCTTTGCTCAATGATTAGATGATGTTACAAATGATTGGGGTCAACTTTATATAATAGGGGAACCCTAAATAAGAAATATTTCTATTTACAATAAGGAATATTCTTGGTACAGCTGTCTATCCGCCTAGTACGGAATCGTACAACTTTATTCCGGGATTTGTGCCAAGACTTTGGGGACGTGGCAAGAATCTAGCTCATTCTAGTACAAATCCATAATGGTACTATTTCGGGGCCGAGCATACTTGGCCCCAGTATTCCTCGAACTCCCATATCTGGATACTGCACTCTGTCTTCGAGCTCAAATACGGTATGCCGGTTTCGAACTCGACCTCACCCCGACTCGGGCCTAGGATGGACCCTGGAGCTTATAAATCGGAGGCATACGATTTTGATGTATACAAATACATTTTACAGTATTAATGCACAAAATTTAAATTCAGTGCATCGTATTTTACAGTGTCAGTATCAGTGCATAGAATTTAGATATATGCTTAAGACAAAGAGCTGCTAAATTTGTACATAGAATTTAAATTCTTTATTTATGTAGAGAAAAAGCAACGTAGGGCAAGTAAGTGAAGCTGAAAAAAGAGCAAAACCCTATACTATTTTTGGTCTGCAAAGCTGGTAATAAGAAACAGACCATAACATCACGTCTAGTTTATAACTAGAAAATTTTGCTTTCAATGTCATTTTCTTTGCCAGCTGCCCTCTCATAATCTCATTTCCTTTCACATTTTGAAGTCATATCTAAGTTAAAATAAGACTATATACAAAGATATTTAGTAATGAATTTCTTTTCTCATTCCTATGGTGTTTAAAAAGAAGGATCAAGACTAGCTTTAGTTTTTGGAATTCGTGTGACTTTCGGAAAGAGCTTTGAAATTCGCCGGAAAATAGCAATATTTTCCATTGAAGATAGTCAGGTCTGTTTATGTTTTTCTTAGCATATGTTCTCATCTTCCCAATGAAAAACTACAAAATTTATATTATAGGAAAATGGAAAATTATACGTATATATAGTTTTACTTTGTTTATCCCATTAATTTCCTTACATTTTATGCAGTGTCTGAAACGTTTTTATCTCTGTTCTTTATGGAAAATTCAAGTATCGTGTAGCACTTTTGTCAATCTTTAGATCTGCTTCTATATTTCCAGAAATTGTTGAATTTTCTTACAAGAAAACTCAAACATTTTTTTTTTTTTTTGATTTGCATACTTTTAAATTTTCTCCCACTTGTAGGAGTTTTGCCTGACGAAAATCATTCATCTTTATCTTCTTAATAAATTTATATAGCAAATAAGTTTCCTGACAAATTAAAATTCTTCTCTTGTGTGGCCATATTTTTTCAATTGCATATAGTCACGTTCTATGTCGCTTGGATTCTCCGAAAATATCGTCGGGTGTGTGTCGGATCCTTCAAAAATAGTGTATTTCGGAGGATCTTACACAACATTTTGGAAAGTCCACACTAGGTCATATTTGATGTGTTTAGAGAAACCCTACTTTTGTTCTTCTAATTGGAACTTCTACATGAATATTTCTTTGTCATCATTTGGATGGTAGTAATTGTTATTACATCGAAAATGGAGGTATTCTTGCAATGAATACTATTTTGATTTCCTCTTTATCTTCCATATTATAAGTCTCAAAAATGTTGTTATTAATTTTGTATAGGATGGGGAGAGGAAAGATAGAGATAAAGCGGATAGAGAACAACACAAACAGGCAAGTGACATTCTGCAAAAGGAGAAATGGACTGCTGAAGAAAGCTTACGAACTCTCAGTTCTCTGTGATGCTGAGATTGCTCTCATTGTTTTCTCTACTCGTGGCCGCGTCTATGAATACTCTAACACCAAGTAAATTTTCTACATCTGCTTTTTGTGTGTATATACAGTCAAACTACATCTATTCTTTTGTGTATAGTTAAACCTTTCTGTAGCAACCTCGTTTGTTCCGATTTTTTTCTCTTATAATGAAGTGCTATTATAATATATATTACTCCCTCCGTTCCAATTTATGTGAACCTGTTTGACTGGGCACGAAGTTTAAGAAAAAATGAAGACTTTTGGAATTTGTGGTTGTAAACAAGTGAAAAAGGGGCCGTGTGGTTATAAAAGCTTCTCATTAAGGGTAGAATTGTAAGTTTAAGCTAAATTATTACCAAATTTAGAAAGGGGTCATTCTTTTTGGAACAGACCAAAAAGGAAATAGGTTCACATAAACTGGAACGGAAAGAGTATAACATAACATGAAAATTGTTCCAAAAAAAATTTGACCGTTATAATGAAATCCTATTATATCGAACGTCTGTTATAGATGCGGATTCATAACTTAAGCTCTATATGACCCATTAAATTTTTAAAGTTATGAATTTATATTTACTATTTCTTATAATTTTACCAGATTTTTACGCTCAAATTTATGCATCACGTCAAAAGTACTGGGTTCAGATGAATTCAATTTTTTCGAGCTGCATCTGCCCCTGTTGCTTACTTCTGGTTAAGGGATAGAGCACCAAAAAAAAGGAAAACTTGCTTCCTCAGTCCTCATTTACGTGACACAATTCGGAGTAGGAGGTTTTAAACTATCTAATTTTCAGTTTGAATTGGACATAGAATTTTCAATATTTTCCAAATAAAATGTACATATTTAGAAACTATCTAAAAATTATAATAAATTACAATAATTAACAACTGAGATAAGAATTCTAGCTCGCGCCCACTTAGAGCAGATGGAAATTCTTGGACGGTGAAAAGCTAAGGCGTGTGAAAAAATCGAGATAAAAAAAACTTCTTTTAACTCTTCAAATAATAACCTTGTCACATAAAGTGAGAGTGAGTCATAGTAGCTAGCTACCAGAAACCGAGACAACAAAGCATGATAGAATGATATATACACTGATTCCAAGGAATTCTCTGCTCACAAGTTTAAGATGCTTCAACTCTAAATGGATTCATAATACTTTAAAAAAATTATAATAGTAATTACTAAAAGAAAAGAAATTACAAGAAAATCTCTGTACAACAATGAAGTGTTTATGTGTTGTTGATGATGAAATACTCAAAAGAATGGTATAATCTGTAACTTTTGAGCGGTAATTCCTCCAAAATGCTTCAGGTTAAAGGAGCTTGTAAATTTATAATTTTTAGAATTAAACATCCTCATTATTGTTGGTAGAATTAAATTCAAAATAATAGTATTGATACGCAGTCTCGCTTTTTGTTGGTAGTAAGTTTTTATGACTAACAATTGTTTTCTTTCATTGTTGATCACCTTACTATCTTTTATTTTTATTCTGCTTTTATATGGTTTTCTGGTACTGTCTCTTCTTGTCTATATTTTCATTTTCATTAATGTGGTGTTTATGCTTTCCTGAGCCAAAACAACATCTCTATCCTCACAAAGTAGGGGTAAGGTCTGTGTACACACTACCCTCCCCAGACCCCATGGTATGGGATAATACTGAGTATGTTATTGTTGTTGTTAACGTCATCATTATAGAATTATTCCTTTGCATATATAATTACTAACTTGCAAGCTTATTAAATAAAAAAAGGGGTTGGACTTTGTAGAATCAGGTCAATTGATTTTCTTTTTAAAAATATAATCAAACTTGTTTTCCTAAATCACATTAATAAATTGTTTCAGATAGTCTCAAGTACTTGGATTTGATGTACTACTGCATCAAGAAAAAAGAAGGATAGAGTTCCCTAATAGTTTTGTAACCAAAAATTGTTGTTTGAAAGCTGTGTTTGGACTATGTTATTAAGATTTGCTTACTTTTCGGGGTAAGTTTTGTGAAGAATTTTTACACCATTATGGTATTTGCCTTTTTATTTTTATTTTTATGTTACTAGTTTCAATCATATTTTATAGTTATCTTTTAGATTACGTGGCACTGGAACATTAGAGGCTTGCCAATATTAATCAGGTTATATTAGGAACCCAAACAACAACAACAACAACAACCCAGTATAATCCCACAAGTGGGGTCTGGGGAGGGTAATATATACGCAGACCTTACCCCTACCCCGAAGGGTAGAGAGGCTGTTTCCAGGAGACCCTCGGCTCAAAAAAGCAATAGGAGATGATATATTAGTACCATAAAAATACGTAATAAAAATAACAACAATAACAACAACAATATATAAGAGATATGAAATATGAAATACAGGATACAAAATACGAAATACGAAATAGATGGCTGGTATAGTACAACTAGAAGGGAAAGCCCTGCATCAATAGACGACCAATGACATTCCTAGTCTAACTCCTAACTGGATAGTCTCACTCTATTGTGCTGTAGAAATATTCACACTCTCCCCTAACCTACAACCTTATTGCTCGACCTCCATAATTCCCTATCAAGGGTCATGT